CTGAACCCCATAGAGAACCTGTGGGATATTGTGAAGAGAAAGTTGAGAGACGCAAGACCCAACACTCTGGATGAGCTTAAGGCCGCTATCGAAGCATCCTGGGCCTCCATAACACCTCAGCAGTGCCACAGGCTGATTGCCTCCATGCCACGCCGCATTGAAGCAGTCATTCATGCAAAAGGATTCCCGACCAAGTATTAAGTGCATAACTGAACATGATTATTTGAAGGTTGGCGTTTTTTGTATTAAAAACACTTGTCTTGTGGGATGAAATATGCTAATTTTTTGGGACAGGCATTTTGGGTTTTCATGAGCTGTATGCCATAATCATCAGTATTAAAACAATTAAAGACCTGAAATATTTCAGTTGGTGTGCAATGAATCTGAAATATATGAAAGTTTCATTTTTATCATTACATTATGGAAAATAATTACCTTTATCACAATATGCTAATTTTTTGAGAAGGACTTGTATATATGAGTGTAGTTCTGTACCCAGGGCATTCTGGGTTTTGCATGTATATATATATATATATGTATGTATGTATGTATATATATTTGTGTGTGTATATATATATATATATATATATATATATATATATATATATATATATTTGGTGGGGAGGCTGACTCCAACAGTCTTCTGTGCAGCCTTCACCACTCTCTGCAAAGCTTTTGTCTCTCCAACTTTGCAGCCCCCGTGTCACACGTTGATGCTGGAGCACAGAATGCTCTCCATTCAAAATAAGTCAATATGTTCTCGTCTGAAGATGAGATGTATTTATTCTTAGACAGGAAACAATACCCAAAAATCTAACTTTACCAACTTTAGGCTTCTCTAGTTTTCCTTAACAACAAAATGTAAAACTTCTTGCACTTAGAATGTATTATCAGTAAACTCCAACACAGTATTTTGGTCTCACATTTAGATTGAGTTCATTTTTGTGTTCTACAAAAAAAAAGGCAGTTTTTGTCTGAAATTTCACTTGAAATGTTTTATAATTGACTAAACATTTACACAAAGAATTTCAATCTTATTCAACACAAATTCATAATTTAATTTGCACATTTTGGAGGAATCCAGAAAGAGCAGCGAACAGAAGGACTGAACTCTCACAAACAGAAATCTGAGGCGTGGTCAGAGACATAAACCATAGTGGGTTTTTTTTTTACCCCATACTTCTGTGATTTTAACTGCATGTACAAAAACTAACTTTAAGAGTTTTGTTATTTATCTTTATCGGATATTTTAACATTTAACAACGGTAACAAAACTGGTATGAACTGCATGAATTGTTGGCGGTAACAAAAATAGCTTTTTTTTAGCTACCCACCCCATTCATAGAATGCTGAATGGGTTCTCACTTGATTGAATATATATTTTTGTGCATGTTTAAAATGTAATTTCACCCATTTACTTTTTATAAGACCCATTTTTTTCCAATCTCCCCTATCCAAAAGCAGTACGTATTGTCCCCTTTTTTACTTCACTTTTTGACCTCTACTTAACACGCAGAGCTCAGAGAAATAATCATTTCATATTAAGGTAGCAAATGGAAATTAAAAATGTTATTATAATTAATATTAAAAGTGCATAATGAAGCGGTCACACCTCAAAAACCTTATGGGGCATTGTGAATGCTTTTGGTTTGCTGTTGTTCCTGTCCTCAGGGTGGAGGCTCAGATACTGAACGCACCAAAAAGAAGAAACGAGGAGACCGTTACTCCGTCCAAACATCACTAATTGTCGCTGCCTTGAAAAAGATGCTTCCCATTGGCCTCAACATGTGCTCCCCTGCTGATCAGGAGCTCATCAACTTGGCCAAGATTCGATACTCTCTGGTAATTTTGTTTTATTTAAAAATAAATCCAATCTATATTTGTGGCAGGGTTTAAGTAAAGACGGAACTATGAAGGTTTTCAGTGGTTATTAAAGTGTTTCACTTTCAGAGAGACACAGATGAAGAAGTAAGGGAGTTCCTGCAGAACAACCTCCATCTTCAGGGCAAGGTATCATATCTGAGCTGCAACAAATGCTGTGTTTACATCTAAGAATCAAGTTTGACGTTACAGATGATCAGTCGTGTCATGTTTTAGAGATGTCTGTTACTTCCTTGTGAAAAGGTGGACAACCCCTCCATGCGCTGGCAGATGGCCTTATATAAGGAGATGGCAGGAAAGGCTGAAGATGCTGATGCTCCAATAAAAGTTGTCAAAAGAGTGCAGGAGGTTTCTGCTGTACTCTATCATCTTGAAGTGGTGAGTCCTCTATTATCTTGATACAATTTGTACCTTTATACACGCCCATCAAAAGATGGAGGTATTATATAGTCTCCGACCATGTCGGGTTGTGCAGACCAGGTATGGTATAGACCTTGGTCATAAACTAAGGTCAAATGTTATACAATGTATTTTCTTGTCCAAAACATTGCTATAGATTGTTCGATTGCTGTATAGTAGTTCGTTGATGGGCGTGTAATGTGCGGTATGTGGTGCGCTTGTCTTCCATGTTTTCCATGAATACAGTCCTACATTTTTCCAGAAATACCTGTCAGGTAGGAGTGTCAAAGTTCATTAAAGGAAGTATTCTTTTCAGGCCTCATTCTCTTCTCATTTTAAATGCATCCCTTGAGGTCCATTTTCACAAAACACAACATTACTTTGCACTGATTTGCTGATGGTTGCCAAGTCTATTATCCTGTACCAGTTTTGTGTTTTGTTTTGTATTAGCCAATCTTCTCTTCAAGCCTTGCTTAAATAGCTGAGATAGGCATGGATGAAGGCAACCTTCCTTAATCTGATCAAAAACAAATATTTTTTTTATTTGAACAATCTAATCTCTTAAATTGTTTAGACAGTTTTATCAGCCTATCTTTTTTTTTTTTTTGCACATTTGCAGAAGGTCATTGTGCAGTTTCTGACTACGCCTTTAAATTTAATACCATACTCCTTTATTTATAAAGCACGTATAAACCACAACAAGGCCAACCAAAGTGATTTACAGCAAAAACAAAACAAGCAAAGGACACAGGATAAAATACATAGATCCACAGAGGTAAAGATGAGAACTAAAAAGCTAACATTATAGAATACAGACAAGTTAAAATTAACTCACGCCGTGTCAAAAGCCAGGGAATAAAAGTGAGTTTTTAAACGAGACTTTAAAACAGTGAGAGCAGGAGCCTGTCTGACATGCAGTGGTAATTCATTCCACAGTTTTGGACCTGCAACAGAGTCACCTCTGTCACCTCTGGGCTTAAGACGAGTGCCTGAAACCAATAAAAGCATCTGGTCTGCTGAACTCAGAGAGTGCTGTGGGACATATGGCTGCAGCAGATCAGTGAGATAGGAGGGGGCAGAACTGTTCAGAGATTTGAAAATATACAGAAGAATTTTTAAATGAATTCGAAAGTGAACCGGGAGCCACTGAAGGGAGGCCAGAACTGGTGAAGTAAGCTCTCTTTTGCCTGTACCAGATAAAAATCGGTCTGCAGCATTTTGAACCAGTTGTAAACGAATGGAGGTCTGACCGATATCCAAATCCGTCTTTCAACTTCTCCACAACAATATCTCGGACCTGCCTGGTGTGTTCCTTGGTCTTCATGATGCTCTCTGTGCTTTGAACAGAACCCTGGGACTATCACAGAGCAGGTGCATTTATACGGATACTTGATTACACACAGGTGGATTCTATTTATCATCATCAGTCATTTGGGACAACATTGGATCATTCATAGATCCTCACTGAACTTCTGGAGTGAGTTTGCTGCACTGAAAGTAAAGGGGACGAATAATATTGCACGCCCCACTTTTCAGTTTTTTATTTGTTAAAAAAGTTTGACACATCTAATAAATTTCCTTCCACTTCACAATTGTGTCCCACTTGTTTTTGATTCTTCACAAAAAAATAAAATTTTATATCTTTATGTAGATGAACAGATGCTCAGATATATTCATCAATTAACACGGATTCCTCATTTTTCTGAACTGAATAAAACGTGCATTGAATTTAATGAAATGCAAAAGTGAGACGTCATTTATATTTGACCCATCAAAATGAATGCGGTCATTTATTTACAGAATCAAAGTTTAACATCAAACATTTACATTAATTTGGCAAATTATGAAAATAACAACATAAGCAATCAATCAGGAAAAATCATACGGCCATGATTTTTCCGTTGCTTCACCACAGACATTTATGAAAACTGTACAATTATGATCTTTTACCCACACGGCGGTGGATGAGCACTTTACACAGACATTTCTAAATATCTGGAAGAATTTCTACTTGAGAGAAGAGTTTAAAGATGGGAAAGAAGTTTAAAGAAGAGTAAAAGATGGGGTTTGAGGGAGTGTGAACAGAACGGCACTCTCTGGGCTTTCTTCAGCTTTTCTTACGGTACACTTAGGTGGTGAAATCGACTCTTTTACCTGGAGATGTCTCAGGCGAGATTCCGTTTAACGCACCCTTCAGCGTCTCCGTAGGATGCTGTTACTCGTCCGGAGTAGCGGCTAGATTCTGTCCCTCATCAGCTCACCTCAGTGGAAAATGTTATAATCCCATGAACTCGGAAGAGCTCTGTTGTCATGTCAGGATCTTCCCGGCTCCCAGAACTGGGCTTCTCCGCACAGAACTGAACTGAACTGTGTATCCAGCAGAACTCCAACAGAACCTCAACAGAAACTGAGCAGAACTGAGTAGACCAGGAAGTACCGACAATTTAAAGAGCCCTTTTCCCGGTTCATACGGGAGTCTCCCATTGGCCAGAACCGACCAGACGGGGTGTGTTTTGTGACGTAAAAGGTTAGAATGCAGCAAGAATTGTTATGGAAAGATCAGAAATGTTCTCACAGACAGAGAGAGTTTTGTTTTGGCGAGTTTAAGAAACAGGTGCCAAAACCCCCTGTTGATGTCTGAGAGGATATAAACAGGACAGTTGTTCCAACGCATGTCTGCTTCACTCCTGACCCTGGAAACGTACACTTGCTCATTCAAAGGCAGAAGTCAGAAAATGCATAAAAATCTGTAACAGACCTCAACATGAATTCTAACTTTGCATGAGAATTAAAAATCATTACACAGTTAATAAAATTGATTAGTTCACTGCAACATCTAAAATGGTTTGAACTAAGACACTTTGATTATCAACATTTGTAAAATAGTAATGATAATAAAAAGAGAGTGTTCTTTCACTTGATTATCAAGAAAGAGAGTCTCAGGATGGGTGAACCTGTATCTCTGGATTCAAATCAATGAAATGACAGTTTCTGTCCCACAAGGTTCTTAAGGTCAAGGGTTTTGACCTTAGGCTTAGTCGTGACACCAGATTAAGTTCACTACATTTATGTTTGAAGCCTGAAATGTGGCAAAAGGTTGAAAAGTTCAAGGGGGCCGAATACTTTCGCAAGGCACTGTACTTTTTGTAAACTGCTTCTTGTGACAATATATTTGTTAGCTTAAATATGCAAAAACAAAATGTATGTGTTTGCTTTGTGGAGTCTTTAAGTTTCAGTCTTATTCTGGAAACACAACAACTTATAAAACGTTTTAGCCGATCCTAATCCAAAGGTTTATGATGTATTTGTCCAAAATGTTTAATTTAAATTATTTCATTGATGGAATTATGGTCTTCATTAACTTGTTTAAAAGTTGTTTTCTGTTAAGAATATTTGTTGGCCGGATTAAGATTGAGATTGTCCACTTTTGGCCCTTGGGCCATCTGTTGCCTACGTCTGTTATAGAGGAATAGCAATGGGAGAATTAACCAGCAAGTTCTATCTCTTTGCTAGACGGAGCACCCCTTTAAATCCAAAAAGATGGTGTGGCACAAACTGTTGTCCAAGCAGAGACGCAGGGCTGTGGTCGCTTGCTTCAGGATGACACCGCTGTACAACATTGCAAGGTAACAAAGGGAAAACTTTGCCAAACAATTGCATGGTTTAAATTAGGGGAAATTATTCAATATTTTCTCTGTGCGTTCTGTTTTTTGCAGGCACAGAGCTTCAAACATGTTCCTTGAGGGATACAAACGTAACTGGATTCAAACTGAGGGTTACTCATTTGAAGACAGGATGATAGACGATTTATCTGTGAGAAACATCTATCTGTTTCATCTGTATCTGATTTTTCTGTCAGCACTCACTTTTTTTTTTTTTTTTTTTTAATGTGCATACCAGAAAGCAATGGAACAAGAGGAAGCAGAAGAAGAAGAAGAAAAGGAAACAAAACCAGATCCCCTCCATCAGCTCATCCTCCACTTCAGTCGTACCGCGCTGACAGAAAAGAGGTTAGACCGGTTCATTCTGTTCCTGTGAGATAAAATGTTGTTCAAGCACTTTTCACAAATCATGACTCTATCTTCTCCTAATGTAGTAAACTTGATACAGATCATCTGTACATGGCGTACGCAGATATCATGGCAAAGGTGAGTCATCACAGAGGACTTTAGCACAGAGCTTTGACCTTTGTCAAATATTTGCTGAAAGATAATACTTTTTGACTTCTTCTTCTTTATTTAGAGTTGCCATATTGGTGAGGAAGAAGAAGGGGGAGATGAAAATGCTGAGGATGAGATGTCCTTTGAGGTGCGACAGTCAGAACTGGTAATGGGCGTCCAGGGGCTAGGGACCAGGAACAGTGGAGCGGTAGCTCTCGATGCACTGAGTGACCCATCATTGGAGCATTACGTCACAACCACATCCCTCTTTGTCTTCGTTGTGTCTCATTACCTGCACCCGCTCTGTCTCTGCACTGCTCGTATGTTGTGCTTCATTTATTGTTAGTTTCTTATTTTAAAATCCCAAAGCTCCAGTCCAGATGGTTTTGTTGCAAATACCGTTCGCCACCAACATCCTAACAAAAGAAAAGAAAATGTACATCAAGCTTCAGTTTTAAACGTCATTGCTATGAAAATGTTTAGAGGCATTTACTAGTTTTTAGAAGATATGTTAGTCCTAAGCCCTATACTACAAAGCAAGTTTATTTTTTTTTCATTATTAAGAGGGGTTTTAAGGGTTAATTCGCCCCAGAATATTTGACTCTGATCAAACAAAATAAAAACAGTTCAGTTCAGTAGGTGGGCCTGTTTTTAAATTTCTGTCAACAAATCTCTAAAATGTTGCTTTTACTCTTAGCACCAATGTGAACAATATTTTGGAGAAAGGACAAAAGTATACACATTTTGGTTGAAAAGGATTTCTAAATTGTTCTAGATCCAAAATCGAAAAAGCCTCATAAACATCAACCTTGTTTTAAAAAGAGGGATTCAATCACTTTGATTTGTTGGGTCTATTGCTTTTTTTCTTCTTCTTGTGCTTTGAAAATACATTTTAGTCTATTCAGTCTATTATATCTCTTATTTTACATTTTGAGAAGATTTATTATCTTCTGTTAAACCTAAAATTTACATAAAATATCACAATTAGATATGTAGGTGTGCATCTGCATCAACCTCTTAAGTCTGCGGAGTCTCAACATGATACCATCCTGAAATTGCTGTCATGGACCACGTAATATCACTCCAATGGCTGCAAAATCGCCTGCAGGGTGCACTTTGGATACCCCTGGATTAGTTCTTAGCAGAAGTTACCACAGGAACAGATCCAGGTCAAGAATGAACCATGTTTAAAATTCCTGACCTGAACCTGAAACTCCCTCAGTAAACCTCTGCTTCGTAGTACTCAGCTCCCTTTATTGTATCTAAATCTGGACTGGGTCCTTCTAGGTTAAATTAATGTAAATTAACATAATAACAAATTTGTAAAAATCATCTAACTAAAAATAAATGTTATTTTTCCAGCTCAATAATTGGACAATAATATCAGGTTAAATTAAGAGGTGATATGAACCACATTTGAAGTGCCTTATATTTAATTTAAAATGACAACTAAAACTCAACTGTTAACATTTTCAGTGTAATTGAATGGGGAAGAAGAGCACTAGTTGTTATTTTTACATAACTCAGCCATCATGCCTTTTAGGATATCCTTAGAGCTGTGAGAAAGTCCAAATTGCTGCAGCTTCACAACTGTTTCATCACACCGTCCGTCCAACATTGGCCCCTCATTTGGTTTAATGGAAACGAAGAAACTGGTTATCCTGGCAAGACTAAAATCTTCCCAGACTGGTTAACATTTCTTCCAACACAAACCATTTATTAAAGTGCAGCCAAAACAAACAAGCCTGTGTTACAGCATTATTATACAGAGCATGGATTATTTTCATTTATTTAGTAAACATGAAATAAAACAAACTTTTTTATATTCTTGGGTTTACTTAGGGACTTCCCTCAATATTTAATGGCCCTGATAGTTGAATGCTGGTCCAAACCTTTCTGTGCTTCTTGTTGCTCTTTATTTATCAGCAGTCACCTCTGTGCAGAACATGACCACCATCAGACATTAAACAGGTCTTTCTTGTAAATGAGTCCCCGAGGCTCAGTGAGACTAACCTGTATAAATAAAGATTGAATGAATGAAAATCATCCAAACATGAGGCGCCTCAGACTGTTCTCATTTACTCATCCTGCGCTGACATCACTCTTTGTCCCAAATGGATCATTTCACAGCACCAAACATTACGATTTTTAAAAGGCCTTCAGAAAATGTGTTAATGCTTATATCAAAGTGGGCAGTTAGACGTGCTTATAAATATATTATGTTTCATTTGTGTAATTTTTATACGCCCATCCAAAAGTATGGTCTCAGTCTGTAAACTTTCTCATGTTTGCCCACAACATGAGCCACTCAAGCTAATTTACCAAAACTGCATACACTTATGCATCATCACTTGTCCCAGTGTCACGTACACTTTTCATCATCCCAGCTCCAAAGTCAAGGTCATAAATATAGGTCAACTGCTTGTCTGGAGATTTAATTTCTAATCCGCTCAAGATAATTCAATCTTGGAGCAGATCTTGAGCAAAACGTTGCATTCTATGTATCGCCACTAGATGGAGTGTCACAATTTCCATCACTCCAGCTCCAAGACCAACGTCACAAATCAAGGTCAACTGCTTGTCTGAAGATTTAACTTCTAATGCGCTCAAGATAATTCAATCTTGGAGCAGATCTTGAGCAAAACATTGCATTCTATGTATCACCACTAGGCAGAGTGTCACAATATTCATCACCCTCGCGCCGAGGTCAAGGTCAAAAATCAAGGTCAGATGTTATCCAATGTCTTTGTTTGTCCGGCACACAACTTCTGATCAGCTCAACATAATTTAATGAAACTTCAAACACATATGCATCATCACCAGATGGAGTGTTGCAATTTCCATCACTCCAGCTCCAAGGTCAAGGTCACAAATAAAGGTCAAAATAATACAAGGTATTTGCTTGTTTGGGCTATTGCTATAGATAGCTGTATAATAGTTTGTCGACAGGCGTATAATGTGCCGTTTACTGTTCTCGTTTAAAATGACAGAACTTTCAGTTTCCTCTGAAAACATTTTGTAAGTCCTAATAATGTGTCATTTGTCCTGGTTTATATAGCTGTTTGTTTTGTCCTTCTTTCTGTCGCTTTCCCCATTGTTCCATGTAATTCCTCTCACCACAGCACAAGTCTTTACTGACTGAATGTTACTGATCAACGTTCCCTCCCCCCACTCACATAGCATACTGACAGACTACAGTGAAAGCCAGGGTAGAACATGCAACACTAAAAGCATTGAATACAGTCCCAGTTTTAAGGCAGTTTGCATTTTAGTGCAAGGTGGCCTCAGATAAGAAGTTTTGGGTCCATTCTCATAACACACAGTGGGTAGAGCACAGCCAGGTATATGTGGGTGGGTCTGAGGGGTGGGATTGAGGGATGATACAAGGCCAGCCTTTTTGTTATGCTGAACAGATGAATGTTGTTTAATTTTACATATTTTTGTTTTTCAGCATGTTTCTGCAAATGTCATTTAAATCAAAGTTTGCTCAAGAAACATTTTATTTTCGCCATAATCCAGAGCATGTGTTCATGGAAACACGGATTACTGTGAAATGCCAAATAATAAATTTACGTACAGAGGGGTTATAGCTTTTGTCCAAAGCATCTTATTTGCAGAGGTTCTGCGTCTGGGACACTTTGGAAAGCTACTTGGCTGATGTGTGAAGCCATTGGGGCTGTTTTCTGTAGTCTAACGCTTGCTCCGATCAGCAAACGTGAGGACGTAGTGTAACAACTCCATTACTAATGAATTGAGGTGACAGAATGTGTGCAAGAGGCAGACTTTGAAATGACAACGATAACCCAGAATGATATAATGCATGTGACGCAGAGGTTAGAGAAGGTGGGCCTGTGATCAGAAGATCCCTGGTTCAACTCCCAGTACTGACAACATCAAAATGTGGGTGGGATAGGTGAAGCGCCTACACCTACCTCTATCTTCATTTGCCCCACTCTAGACCCTTGAGCAAGGCCCTTAACCCCCACCATCTGCTCCCCGGGCACCCTAGATGGCAGCTCTGCTCCACACTGAGGACTGTGGTAGCTCAGTGGTCTGTGGTTGTATCAGGAAGGGCATCCGGCATAAAATAATAATTGCCAAGTCTTCGTGCGACTTAATTCGCTGTGGCGACCCCTGAAGAAGGGCGCAGCTGAAAGAAGAAGTAGATGAAAATAAAAGTTTAATTGGTAGATAAATCAAAAACTTTGTGAAAGGTGAGTAATTGGGAATCAAAAACGAACCTCTAAATTCATAGAGTAGACTTCTTTAATTTACAGATGGAACAGTTTGTTTATGGAAGAGCAGTTGTGTGAAATACTTATAAACGTAAGTATCTTACCTGAAGTACACAATGGTCAGGATGCTTTTATTTTGGAGAATCAATGCGTATTTTAAGTCAGGTTATTTAATGCTGTAATTAGTGACAATAAAATACCAATTTTAACTCTAAAAATGTTAAATCTGGTCCTCTGGACATTCCCCAAAAAACCAAACAAAACAAAAAAATTGTAGAAACATTTCGTCTTTCATCCGAAAGACTTCTTCAGTCTGAGGTGCTGTCTTCAGCTGAATATGAAACGTTTCTACAATTTATTTATTTATTTATTTTTTGAATGTCCACAGGACCAGATTTAACATTTTTTGTTTTTTCTACCTGGATTATTGAGCATGCATCAGGATACCAATTTTAACCTTTAAACACAAACTAAAAATGTTTACAGAAAAATTATCAAATGTTATATATTGTAGATTTTTAACATTAAGATTTTTAAGGTTAAATGTCTTTTAGATGACAAAAATAACTTTTTTTTTTTTTTTTTTACATCTTTCTTGTTTGAGCAGCAGAAAGTTTGTCTCCCCCAACTATAACTATTTGTCGTTCTCCAAAACTAAGAGCATTTAGTCTGTTGTTTTCTGCATGCCACTATAGTTAGATTGAAAGACCCTCCAAAAATTAGGCCAAACAGAAGCTCAAGACGTCTGAGGCAAAATAAAACAAGCCCATTTTGGCTGAAAATGGCTGAGAATGTCATGGCCGTACAGGTTGGACCCAAGGATATAGACCAGCATGAGGAGCTCGAATAAATACCTAAAACTTTATTCAACGAAACAAATGTTGACATGGACGCAGCCACTAATTACAAATAA